ATGAGAGTGTGTGTGTGTGTGTATGAGAGTGTGTGTGTGTGTGTGAGTATATGAGAGTGTGTGTGTGTGTGAGTATATGAGAGAGTGTGTGTGTGTGAGTGTATGAGAGTGTGTGTGTGTGTGAGTATATGAGAGAGTGTGTGTGTGTGTGTGTGTGTGTGAGTATATGAGAGTGTGTGTGTGTGTGTGAGTGTATGAGAGTGTGTGTGTGTGTGTGTGAGTGTATGAGAGAGTGTGTGTGTGTGAGTGTATGAGAGAGTGTGTGTGTGTGAGTGTATGAGAGTGTGTGTGTGTGTGAGTATATGTGTGTGTGTGTGTGTCTGTGTGTGTGGAGGGCAGAGGCTGGTTCCTGCTGGATCTGCTCTTTGTGCCCCGAGCCTGAGCCCCGGGCCGCAGCAGCCAGGCTGCAGGGTGGGGCTGGGGGTTTATCGGCCTCTGTTTTATCTGCTGCTGCTTGGCCTCCGAGAAACCACCCCCGGCAGCAACTGCCTGCCCCAGAGAGGCTGGTGACCCCGCGGGCGACACGGGTGCCCCCGGGGCCCGGGCCAGGCCCATGTGCTGCGACCACGGCCGCTGAGCCGCCTGGCCCTCCCCCGCGGCGCCTTTGCCACTCGCTGTGGAGACGGCACAACCCCCACGGCCTCCCCAGGGGCACGGCCGTGTCCCGACCCGTCACCAGGCGTCCCCCGAGGCGCCCGCCGCCCCCACTCAGGACCCGCACCCTCAGTGGACGCCAGGCTGTCAGCGACGGCAGCGCCTCCTGCCGGGTGTTCTCTCGGGCTCCTGGGCTCCTGGGCGTGGCTTGGCTGGGGTCTCAGCCTGGGGTGTTTGCCTGAGCCCCCCCTTCCTTCCCAGCGTGCCCTGCAGCCTGGCTCGGGCCAGGGGCCTTGTCTGGACGTGGCTCTCCTGCCCCGGGGACTGGGGCTGCCCACAGGGACAGGACAGCCGCTGCCTGGGCCTGTGGCAGGCATGAGGCCTGGCTGCATGATAACGTCACAGTGTGTGTGTGCCACGTGGGATGGAGAAGCCACGGAGGGAGAGCCTGTCCGCGGGAGAGCTGCAGGCCGGCCGCCCCGGGGGGGGGGGGGGGGGGCTGCTGCCGGGCTGTGGTCAGTGGTCACAGGACAGTGACGGTGAGCGCTCGGGACAGTGCTGGCACGTCGCAGACTTCCTGTAAGACACCGGACAGCGTGCAGGGAGGCCCGAGAGAAGCGTCTCTCCTTGGCCTTCTCCCCGCCCCATCCCACCCCCATCCTGCTCCCTAAGGGAACAGGGATCAGGCACATGCACGACCCCCCTGCTGGCTGAGGCCCTCGGCCGGGGTGACCTGCCTGGCCTTCCTCCCTGTGCCCACCCCGCCCGGCAGCAGGGGGGCTGGGTCGCTGGGCAGAGGCCTGAGACCTCCTGCTCCTGGCTGTGCTGTGTGCTCCGCTGTGGACGTGTCTGGGCGCCGTTTCCTATCGCGGGTACCGATCGCCCTGTCCTGATGGCCGCAGTGGCCGCACCACGGACACGTGACGCTCACGTGGCTGGGCCTCTGGGAGGCGCCGGCTCCCATCACGAAGGGGCCGGGGGAGGTGTCCCGGCCCCTGAGCCAGAGCTGAGAGCGGCAGCAGGAGGGACAGGGCCCAGCTGCCGTCCACGGGTCCCTGTGCCCACGGCGGGTCCCGGCGGGAGGCCAGCACCGCCAGACGCTCTCACGGTGACTCACTGGGCACACAGGCCAGCCCTCCGGCCCCTGCTCCTTCCCCCGGCAGCCGGAGCGCGGATCAGCCTGGAACCGGTTCTTATCGGTGCTGGGCACCGGGGCGGGACCAGGAAGTGTGTGCCCGTTGGCATCCTGCCGGGACCTGGCCGAGGGGCCGGGCGGGGAGGGAGAGCAGTGCCTGGCGCCCACCCCGCCCCCTTCCCCACCCTCGTGCACAGGCTCCCCACCCGCCTCCCCTCCCGCCCTCCAGCCGGGGAAGGGGCCGCTGAATTCAGGGTGACTGGCCTGGAGCTGGAGACAAATGATGCAGAATGACCCTCTAGTACTTGACCCAAACATGCATGCACACGCATGTGTGTGTGTGTGTGTGTGTGTGCTGGGGGGTAGCGACTGGGCAGAGCCGCCTGAGCCTCCTGGGCAGCCCCTCACCCGCCTGTGCTGTCTGCAGGAGCCTGACCAGGTGTACGAGGGCATCACCTTCGACGACTTCCTGAAGGTGCGTGTCCGTCCGGGGAGCCGTGGCTGTGGCCGTGGCTGTGGCCGTGGCCGTGGCCGTGGCTGTGGCCGTGGTGGGGCTCGCAGGGAGCCGGCTGGTCAGGAGGAGACGGGCGTCTCTGTGGAAAGGGTCGGGCCTGGACGTGGCCTTTAAAACACCTGAAACTGGTTTTAATTTTTATCGAAAAGTAAGCCCACGCGTGGTCAGAGCATTTGGAGGGTACAGAGGGTGCACAGCGCCCGCCGTCTCCCCAGGCGAGTCCCTCGCCGCTTCTCAGAGGTGGTGCCCCTGCACAGCGGGGGCCGGGCTGGGGTCTGTGCCCAGACCGGGACCCACCGGAGTGCGGCCCTGCCCGGCTTTCCAGCTGTGCCTCCGGCCTCCCTGGCGGGCTCTCGCGCTCCCCCTGGTGGACACTCAGGCCTTGCTCAGCCTTCCTGCCACACACACTCCCAGGCTGGGAGCTGGGACCCCTCGTTGCTCTGACAGGAGATACCCCGTTGCAGGGAGATGAGGCCCCCACCCTCTGGTTCTTCGGGCCCTGAGCACCCCAACATCGGGGTTCCCAAGGCCTTTTTGGGGGTCGAGGAAGAGAGGAAGTTGGGGAGACTGTGCATGGAGTGGGGCCGGGACCTGCTCCCGTCTGCAGCCCTGACCTGGCCCAGCACACGCCCGGCCCAGAGGCTGCGAGGAGCCCGTGGTCTCCTTCGCCTTCCAGACGCACCAGGGCTGAGCAGGGCGAAGGCGGGAAACCTTCCCTTTTCGCCTGAAAAGCCAGCTGCTCCCCCGAAGGCTGGCCACCGCCGGGCTCCAGCCGGGTGGGCCTCCTCGTCCTGGGCTCCACCAGCTTCTGTGGTGGCCCCCGTGCCACCTGCCTTTAGCAGAACCCGCCCTGGTGCCCAGGCATCGTTCCCGGGAGCCCTGTGGAGCCCGGTGCTTCCTGTGGCCTCACCCGCACCAGGCCAGCTGCAGGCGGGAAGCACGTGGGCAGGGGCATGTGACGGCGGCCAGAAACGCGCCGAGGCCTTCCTGTGGCTCTGGCTTCCCGTTCCCAGCCCCCGGCCGTCCCTGGAGACGCCGTGGTGACAGCTTGAGAGTTTGACGCTCTTACATAAGCAGGGAGCCCGTGAGAAGTCACCGCCCACCACATCCCTCCGTGCTGCTAGCATCCCTCCCGCCCGCGCTCGTTTGGGGCCCCCTTGGGGGCTGGGGCGCTGTGTGGCTGAGGCGCTGGCGAGCACCCAGCCGCTGTGGGGCTCTTAGGAGGGGCGGGGGAGAGGGGGGTCTGGCAGAGCCCGGCCAGGCCGCACTGGGACGGCCTCCCCAGCACCAGGTACGTGGCCAGGCCCTGGTCTCCGAGTGGAAATGACCTTTGAGCTGGTCTGTGTGGAACACGGGACCAGACTGTTGTCACCTTTAACGAATGAGAATGACGAAGGCTTACTGAAACCGCACCGCTGCAGAGCCCTAGAGCTGATAGATCGCTTCTGGTGACTCCACACCCCACACCTGTCTCCTGTGCCGTGGGGGACAGACGGGCAGTGGTCTCCGCAGGCAAAGAAAGTGTCAGGGCGTGACTCAGCCTGAGGCGGTGGAGGGATGGGGGGGGGGAGGGGTGGTTCTGGCCTCAGTGGCCTCCTGCGGTGACATCTCAGAGAACACGAATGCCAGAGCCACGCTCACCAGCAGGGTGAGCTTGGACTGCCCTGAGGGCTTAGCTGGTTGTCCCAGGGGCACAGCTCTGATGCCGGTGGGAGGAGGGGAGCTCAGGACCTGCCTGGTCAGGGTGAGGCCCTCACACCGCTCCGTGCGTTTCAGATCTGGCAGGGGATCGACATCGAGACCAAGATGCACATCCGCTTCCTTAACATGGAGACCATGGCGCTCTGCCACTGAGCGCCCCCCGAGACCGCACTCTGCACCGTGCAGCCCCCCCAAGGCCGGGCAGCCCCCCCCCCCGAGGCCTGAGCAGCCCCCCGAGACTGCACTCTGCACCGCGCAGCCCCCCCAAGGCCGGGCAGCCCCCCCCACGAGGCCTGAGCAGCCCCCCGAGGCCTGAGCAGCCCCTCGAGGCCAGGCAGCCCCCCAAGACTGCACTCTGCACCGCGCAGCCCCCCGAGGCCGGGCAGCCCCACCACCCCGAGGCCTGAGCAGCCCCCCGAGGCCTGAGCAGCCCCCCGAGGCCGGGCAGCCCCACCACCCCGAGGCCTGAAGCCGGCCAGGCTTACGCTGCAGCTCCTCCCGCCCCCAGAACAGGGCCTGGTGTTGGGACTCACTGTTTTTATCTCTAATAAAGAGGATCAGGGTTTGTTAACGGACCAGCTTCCTGTCTGTCCCTTCCCCACACGAGTGGCCAGCATTGGCTGGCACAGCGGAGACGAGGAGCAGGCAGCGGAGTCGTGGTGGAAGGCCGGTGTGAGGGGACTTTCTCTCCTCGTTGGGTTCGTTTGGTGACGAGCCTGCTGTTTCCCTGCAGAAGTGAGTTAAGCCGGAGGCGGCTCCGCGCTCCCAGGCCTGGCGCCTGGCCGGGGGCTCCCTCCCTCAGCATCGGGGCCGCACGCTTAGAGCCTGTGTGGTTGCGGGCCCGGGCTGGCCTCCTGCTGCTGGGCGCCGGCGCCGGGGCCCCTCCGGGCAGGATGGGGCGGTGGCGGGCCCAGCACTCGGTCCCCGGCGTCCGAGGCAGCGATGTGGACCTGGCCTGCGGGGGAGGTGACTGCCCAGGTAAGCGTCTCCAGCCTCGCTGACCGGGGTACCCGGGCTGCGGGGGGGCAAGGGGGGGGGGGGGGAGGCTTGAGAAAACACAGGCGGCCACCGCGGGTGGGGCCGGGGCCTGGGAGCCAGCGGCCGGCAGGCCTGGGTCACAGTTGCCTGCGTCTCGCCTGGTGGTGCGGATGCCCTGGGCACAGCGCTGGGCGGTGGGAGCTGTCGCTGTTTGCATCCCAGGCGTCCTCTGGCATCGCACTGAGGAGACGCTCGGTCCCTTCACGGACACACTCGCTGGGCAGCACCGTTCCAGCCTTCTAAGGACGTTCTCCTGCGAACTGGCAACCGCTGTGATTCGCATTCTCTAATTTAAAAATACGTCTGTACTGATTTCAGAGAGGAAGGGAGGAGGAGAGAGAGACACATCAGTGATGAGAGAGAATCCAGTGATCAGGGATCAGGCCGGCAACCCAGGTGTACGCCCTGATCTGGAATCAGACTGACCTCCTGGTTCACAGGTCAACGCTCAGCCACTGAGCCACCGCGGCTGGGCTGCATTCTCGAATTTTCAGTTCATAGTTCTGATGTGAGTGTGTTACAGCGCTTCTGTCACACCCACGCACTGGGGTTCAGACTGGGGCGCGTGTGGGTCTCTAACCTGTTCTTGTCTGGCCCCGACTTTCCCTTCCCAGGGCCTCACCTCAACCCCGCTGGCACACGCAGGCAAAGGCGTTGTCTGGGACGAAGCTGATGTCGGCGTTTATATTTACAAACCAGGGCAGAGCAGGAGGGTGAGTTGGAGGGAAGCGGGCAGTGCGGGCCGCAGGAGTCCGAGGGTGGAGACGTGGTGACAGTGCCTCTGTCAGAAAGCGCTTGGCAGGAGCGGGCTGGGCCTTGGAGCCCAGCTGTGCCCGAGGACGCTGGCCTGGGACCCGCCACCGCGGTCTCAACGTGTGCGGACTGCGGCCCCCACACCCTGGCTGCAGGCGGATGGTCAGGCTACCGCCCAACCTCAGGGTAAGTGCCGGGGACAGGCTGAGGTCCTGCCCGGGGCTCTGCATCCTGGACCAGCACGTAACTCAACCGTTGAGGCATCAGGCGAAGGCCTCTGCATCCTGCCTTCCAGGGGCCACGTCTGGTGGGAAAGACCAGCTAGGATCAGGCTGTCTCCCGGGCTCGGATGGGGTCAACTCCTGCTTCTCTCGCTGCTGGGATCTTGTTCACGCCCTTGGGTTTTCTGGCTGACAGTAGGGTTCTGGGGTCACTGGACGGCCTGGTGGTGGTGGGGGGGATCTGGCCCAGGAAGTGCCTCCAGTGCACCCCTCCTCATGCCAGAGAGAGGGACCGGGGAGTCGGAGTGGCAGGACCTTGGCAGGGCCACGGCAGGCCTGCGTTTGCTGGGCGCTCCCAGTCTGCTTCCGTTTTGTTCTCCTCCACAAAGGCAGCTCATTAGTGGGAAGAGCTTTTATCAATAATGCATCTTCCGCCGCCCCGTGCCCTCCCGGAGTTGGAGTTTGGATGTGGGCAGGCATCAAACGCTCTCTCTCCGGACCACTCAGGGACCAGGCTTGCTGTCTGAAGCTGTGAGCCACGGTCACCTTCAATGGCTCATTAGAGTGAGGCCTCACCAGGAGCCCGGGCCATGCTGCTCAGAGGAAGCGGATCTGTTCTGGGCCCGGGCCTTCGCTCCCTCGGTCGTATGGGGAGTGACCAGGGCTGGCGCAGTTGGCACAAACCTGCCAGAAGGGCAGGCTACCACCCACCGTCTAGTGGGGCTGCTGGCCTTTGGTGAACAAGGTGAGGGGTGCTGCTCTGGGTACGGGTCTGAGGTGCCACCTGGCAGTGTGGAGCGGACGGGGGCCAGAGGCAGTGGCCTGAGGCGGCTCCCCTTACCTGCAGGACGGGCGGGTGTGCCAGGAGGGGCCAGCGGGCTGCAGACCCCGTGCGAGGGCAGCAGCCCCCCGGCTGGGCCGCCTCATGAAGCAGGAGTGTTTGCTCTGAATGTGTTCTAGCCCAGGCAGGTCAAATAGATGCACTGGTTAGCACTCCTTCCATCAGGAACTGAGTGACTAAGGGGAAGCAGGCAGAAATCAATGCGAAGCCCGATATTTGAAGGAAGCTGCTAAGTCAGGGCTTTGAGGGCCTCGGCTCCCGAGGGAGAAGCCGGGGCAGGGCCGGTGCCAGGTGGGGGGTGAGGTCACTTGCCCGGGGCTCAGGTGGAAGGCGGATCTCATCCTCATTGCCACACCGCCCAGGGGGAGCGTTACCAGAACTCGGCTTTTGGATGAAGCCGGCCATTTGGTAGGGTTACAGAAGGGCTGTGCGATGGAAATCTGATAGGAGAGGCCTGGGGAGACTCTGCAGCCACGTTCGCCGTGAATTATGGATGAGGACACGGAGTAAGGTTGCAGCAGCTTCCAAGTTTGGCCGCGCGCTCTCTCGGGGAACGCGTTACTGCTGGACTTTAACAAGGCCGTCCCGTTGTCCTCTGGGCCAGGGGACGGGGACGTTCTCTGCGCTTCACTAACGGAGTGGGTCCGTATGGCCGGCCCGGCCCTGAGCGCGGACCTGTCCCTCCTCTGCTCGGTGCACGGTGGTTTGCACGGGCTGCTGCCGAGTTAAAAATACAAGGCGCCTTGGTAAGGGCTCTGCAAACACCTGCTTTGCAAGCTGTCGTCCCAGTGACCTTGGGGAGGCCTTGGGAGCGGGGCGGGAGGGGCTGGGGTATTAAGCACAGTTCCCAGGGCATCAGGGCGCCTTTGTCTCTAGGAACTGTGAGCACGCCAGCAGGGGGCGGCGATGGTGCGTGAGCTTGGCCCGGAGGGACAGTGATGGCGGCACCAGTGGCTGCTGGGCCTCTGGCCCGCTGGTGGCCTCGTGGGCAGAGACTAGGTCTGGTCTGCACCCGCGCGGCTCAGGGGCAGCAGTAAGGTCTCGGATGTGCTGGGAAGCAGTTGCAGCCACCCTCACCCTCACCCTCACCTCAGAGCAGTGTCTGTCCCAGCTGCGGGAGGAAGAGAAGCTGCGGCAGGACAGGCTCAGCTCCGGGTGGGGACCATTTATTTCCCTTCCTTCCAGGGAAAGAGAAGCCCCGGGCCAAGCCGTCGAAAGCCGCTGCTGGAAGCCCTCGCTCCACACCGAGGCTGAAGGGATCCGGCGCCACATGGCACCGCGGCCGCGCAGCCGGAGGGTCTGCCACCACCGCGGGGCCCGTCCAAGTCGCCGCCAGGTGACCATCTGGCCTGGCCGAGGGTGAGGGGGCAGGTCTGGGAGGCGCAGCATGGTGGCTGGGCAGCCAGCTCTGTGAGCTCCGGCCGCCACAGCTGCTGCCCGAAGCCAAGGCCCCAAGTCGGGGGAGGAGGAGGAGGAGGCGGTGGCGGCGGCGGAGGAGGAGGCAGCTCCCGCCTGAGCCACTGGCAGGCCCGGCTGCGCTGGCAGGCCCCCAGCTCTGGAATGACGGACAGAGCTGCAGGGGCCAGGGTCTACCATCTAACTGCGGAGCAGGAAGCCCCTTAGGGTTGTGTGGGGAGGAGACTTCATCTTGGGGTGTCAGCTTTCCCTCTCAGAAAGGCCCCAACTCCCGCCTAGGGAGATGTTTCCTCCTACCAGCCGAGACCCAGTGCGCCAGGGGTCTCCCCTTGCCCTGGGAGGGTGGTGCCAGGGGCGGGGGGGGGGGAGCGCGTGTCTTCTAACCATGAACTATTGTCTGGGCACCGGCAGCACCCTCTAGTGGCAGAGACGCAGTTCGCAGGATGCGCCTGGTGCACAGTCGCACAGGTAGTCTGTGGGTTCCCTGGCTCCTGGGCTCAGCACCCTGAGACAACGACTCGATCGATTGAGATAGATCGTGGAGGGCAGAACCAGGTCGCCGAGCAGAGGTGAGAGGTCGGGGCTGGGGGAGATTGGTGGCCAGGGGAGGCAAATGAATTGAGCAATAAAAACATTTTCAAAATTTATTAGAACCAACACAGACATAGTAATGAAGCAGAAAGCAAAGTCATACAACGTTTTGAGACGGGACACAGCCTGGCCCTTGGTCCCTGCAGCACACACAGGTCCCCTCTTCGGCAGGGGAGAGCGTGGGAAGCAGAGGTCAGACCCACCACCAGCTCCCTGACAACAGCCCGGGGAGGGACAGCCCCGGGGTGAGCAGAGGATGGACATGGCCACGCCTTTCTCAGCTGCTGGGCCAGTGGCGGTTTATAAAGGGACTCTGACCCTTTCCTCACCCAGCCCGGGTCTCTGGGATAGAAAGTGACAGCGCAGAACCCAGGTGGGCGGGCTGAGAGAGGACGGTTTGGGTGACAAACGCTTCTTTGCAAAAGCCAGACACTTTCAGGACCGGAGGGAAGTTATATACAAGCTGTAACATTTACACCGGACCAGCTGTTGCAGTGAATAGCAGTAGTTTAAAACTATTTTTAATTTTGGTGTAATTGTCTGGGTCTGATTTCTTTAAACTGTTCAATTATGTAAAATTGCTGCGAAGCTAGTTCGGAAGGATGAACTGGGAGGTCAGACTGGGCAGAGCTGTTCTTTAAAAGGAAAGATGTTGTCCAGTGGCATTAATTAAGACAGAGATGAACACCGTACAGAAGCGAGGGTCAGAACCCCGTGCCAGGGAGAGGAGATCCCCCCTGTGCTAGCTGTAGCGGCCTCCCTCTGAAGTCGGGGGCTGAAGGAGGCAGAGCCGTCGGACAGAGCCGCCTCCCGGGGGCAGGCAGGGTGGAGAGGGACATTCCTAGTCCGGCTCCTCTGGCCTCCGTGGACGTGGGGTTTTAAGGACCTTCACCATCAGAGGTGCTGGACTCGGGGATGGCTGGCGGGCGGGGCCACTGGACACGCTGGTGTGCGAGCTGCACGGCGGCCCGCTGGTCTGACTGAGCGTGCGGAGTGAGGCTCCCCGGCTGGGGACGGTGCTGCCTCAGGAATTTCCTTCTTCAAAACCAAGTCAAGTCAGAGTGTTTGGAACCGGCAGATGTTTTTATTTGGCTTTTTGTTGGTTTCCAATTGGACTGCATTAGCATTCAGAGTCAGTGAGGAAGGCCGGGCTGGTATCGCTCTGTGCAGCGGGGGCCTTTCTTGGTGCCGTCACTGTCTGTGATGGTCTGGGGTGTTTGGGAAGGTACAGAAGGGCGTATGTCTATTGTATATTAGCTAAGCACATCCTGTGCTTGTGTCTTGGCTGCTGTGATCTGCTAACTCACTCAAGCATGGTCTGCTTCTCTGTAGTGGTGTCTGTGTTACAGTGACATTTTGAAGGTCTGGCAGGCGGCTGCCGCCAACGCTGTAACCAAGAGTAGGCTTGCCACTCCATCCTTTGGAAGTGGAAGCTGTTTGTCAAACGGAACAGTTCTCCCGCCTCCGCTTTATCTTAGTGCTTTGACATGGCGGTTCCTCCCGTGTAGAATCACCATCCGTCCCACCTGGAGGATGGCTGTTTATTCAATGATTATATAGAAAATATCTGCTTTGTATCACATGTTGTAGATGCAATAATAAGCAAAATAGTTGTTAATGAAGTAATGGTATAAATATATAATTATAAAAGCTCTGTGGAAAAATACTGTAACCCCGGTTTGCACTGGTGAGATGCTGTGGGAGAAGCCCACCTGAGTGAACCCCGGTCTCATCGAGGCACAGCCTGAGGGGGGGAGGGGGGGAGGACTGGAGCTGGCAGAGGGAGCAGGGCCCAGGAGAGCCGTGTTCACAGTGAGAAGCCCAGGCCTCACCGGAGCTGCAGCGGCCGGGAGAGACGGGAGCCCACTGGGGGTGTCACCCCGCCCGGGCTGGCTGGGCTGGAGGAAGAGGAGGAGGAGGAGGATGTGGGGGAAGGCGAAGGCAGTTACGTGTGAGTCATCAGTGTGTGGTTCCCCAGGCCAGGAGAGGGACCAGTGAGGGGAAACGCTGACAAGCCCCAGCTGTGCACAGTGGGCGGAAAACAGACGGAGAAAGTGCAGGCGGATCGGGAAGGTGCGTCACACAAGGACCCGGGGTTGCTATCTCCCCCCAGACCTCTGACAGCCGGGGCAGAGTCCTCTGTTGGGCTTTCCATTCTCTGTCCCCTAAGCGCTGTCGGAGGGGAAGGCGAGTGCGAGGCCGTAGCTGCTCCCCGCCGTGGAGTCGCAGGACGCGCGGCAGGCGGGGAGGGCGCTCTGCAAGGCCAGCCGGTCCGCGGCGAACTCGTAGGCGTGGACCAGCCCCCGGTGCCTGAGGGAGCACAGAGAGGGCTAACCGGTCTGCCCTGTGGGCCGGACACTCGGGACCGGGGGCTAGAGGTAAAGGGGTGGGTAAGTGCCAGGAGGAGAGGCCCTGGCCTCAGGCTGCTCAGAAGCCAGGCCAAGAAGAAGCACTGAGCCTCGTGCATGGGGTGAGGAGGGAGGAGTCTCCCTTGTGTGGCAGCTGAGTCACCCGGCTGGCCCCGCAGGAGGACTTCGCTCTAACCACTGCAGGCCCCTGACCCGTGTCTCCGCCTCTGTCCCCAGCCACGCAGGCCTGCTGCAGCGGTGAGACGCTGTGGGGAAACACAGAGCGGGCACTAGCACACTGCTGACCTCTCACCCAGGGCATCTGGAGTTGCCTGTGCTGCGGGAACACCCCGGAGGGAGTGGTGTGGCTGGGGCTCTAGTCTGAGCTCAAACATGACACCCAGACCACAGCAGCCGCGCCCACTGACCTCCTGTGCGTGGCGAAGCCGTCCAGGTCGGCGCTGCGCATCACCCGCTCGCAGGGCACGTTGGCCGTGATGAGGCTGTGGCTGGTGAAGGAGAGGTGGCGGACGGGGTGCCTGCAACACAGGGGAGAGCGCGCTGGTAAAGGCAAGTCATTGGAAACAGCACGGCCTGCATCTGCTGCCAGTCTTGGAAGTTGAGAACTACAGGGACCCTTTTACAGTGGACACCACCCTGGGCGCTGTCTCGCCTTCGTTCCCAAAGTTAGAGCCAGGCCCACTCTGTGCACAAGTCTGAATGCCCCAACAGTGGGACACACAGGGTGAACTCAGCAGCACGCTGGCTGGTGCTGGACAATCACTCCAGCTCTCGGACCCACGTCCACCTGCAGGCGTGGGAACCATGAAAGGCCCCTGTCCTAAAGCCAGGGCTCCATGTGACTCACGGAGTCTGGGCTGTAACGCACATTCAGAAAATCTTGGAGTAAAATGGCTTGAAATCTATGTACAAAGTTTTGTTCTAAAACCCCTTCCTTGCTACTATGGTCACAGCACTGAGCCAGGAGACCCAGGATGAAAGATGTCCAGTGCAGAGACCTGGCATCAGAGCTGCCCGCCTGGTCAAGGTAAGACATACTGGGGTGGGGGGCAGGAGCAGGGTTATATGTTCCTAGAGCATGAGATGGTACAGGGCACACAGATGGGACACAGATGGGACCCAAGGTCTAGCACTCGGAGGGAGGAGACACGGCTGACAGGCCCGCTCAGAAGGCACAAGAGCGCGCGCAAGTGGGAGGGGGGGGGCTGTTTGTCAAAGGCTTCCTGGTTAGAGCAGAGGATTCTCTCGAGAATACAGGAGTCTGAGCCCAGTGGAGCGGGAGGAATGGAGAGGACAGATGGGTGTGAGCAGGACTCAAGGAGACAGGCAGAGGGGGGGCGAACAGGCACCTGACCAAGTGCCAGCTGGACAGAGCTCAGAGGAGCGGCAGGTGCCTGCCTGCAGTGACCTGATGAGAGACAAGCCACTAGTCGGTGGCAGAACTGGATGTACATTTACAGACGAGTCAGGACAACAGTGCTGGGAAGACCTTACTTAGCCGGCTTCACCAGCACACTCACCCGAGGGCATGCAGCTTTTGGGAGAGAGAATGAGACCCGAGTGCGGACCTGGTGAGCTGCACGCGGGAGGCAGTGCTGGGGCCAGGGGGAGCCAGCTCTAAACTCTTAAAAGGGATTCCAGTGGGTGGGAGTGTTAGCTGCCTTTTGGCACCACCTGGTGGCAGCTCAGTGCATCACACAGAAGTCAGAACAGGGCCCATGGGAGGGCTTGCCCAGTCCGCTGCAGGTCATCCAGAGCTCTCTGTAAAAGCTGCTGCTGGGGCCCTCGCTAGCACTGCCCTCCAAGGAAGAAACCGCCTCTTCTAACCTGGCCCTTCTTATAGTTAGAATGAAGACTGTGCTGCCTTCTTGTGGGCCTACTTTCTCATGATCTGCACTAGAGGGGAACAGAGCTCAGCTCACAATTGCAGGCCTTTTCCACCTGCCTCAGAAGCAGAGAGGATGGGGTGAGCTGACCCTGCTCCAAAGGTCAGGAGCAAGCTGTAAGCAAGCATGTCAAACTCAAAGGCTAACACAGGCCAAATAAACGAGGCATGTGGCCCGCTGGCTGTGAGTTTGACATACTTGCTGTTGAGTGTTTAACCAGTTAGGCTCCACTCATGTAAACATACCTACACCTGTGAAGCCATCGGCCTGTGCTTGGGTGGTACCTGTTTAACTTGAATATTTGCGTTAAAGTGCACCTAATATTGAGACTGCATCTAGTCCGAGCCTGAATCCATTCAGTCCTAAGTGCCCTTCTACGGTGGAAGGAAGTCCAAGGAATGGGCAGGACATCATGTCCCGACTCTGAGTGGAGGGAGGTGGCAATGGATTAGGGCAGTTTTCACAACGGGAGAGAGGAAATGCCTCTGTACTGACTGTGACCGGCTCCACTCCTCAGCCTGAGCAACCTCGGCTGAGAATGGAGAGGACAGCAGCTGGCTCTGGGTTACGGTGAGGACTGTAAGCCCCAGACGGCACTGAGCACCACGCTTGGCTGGGAGGCTGACTAGCGTCATCCCGCTGTTAGCACTGGAGGTGCCGAGAAGCAGCCTTACCTGGAATGCACCTCCCACAGCTTCTGGTTCATCCGATAGTCCCACACGGAGACCAGGCCCTCCTCGCCTCCGCTGACCACTTTCCAGTCGTCCATCTGCACTGCGGAGACGCCAAGCTGGTGTGCCGAGAACGACAGGGCGGTCTTGCTGGTGCGGAGGTCATGGATCCTCACCCTGGAAGGCCCGAGGTGAGCAGAGGTAAGAGTTAGAGTCTGAACTGACAAACCCCTGCTGGTTGTGCTGGGGTCTAGGCACAACAGCCCTATGAAGACAAAGGCCATGAAAGCCCCGGTGGCTGCAGACATGTAAACAGGCTATAAAACGGCATCTCCTCGGTTCGCTGTCGTACAGACGAGGCCCAGACGCAACAGACATGGACGGTGAAGAGCCCCCAGCTGCTCACTGGAAGGATTTAAGAGCTCACAGGACAAGACAGACTCAGGCCCAGTCCAGGGCTGCCCTGTCACTCACTCTGTGTGCTCAGCAGGGAGACACCTGCCCCGGGCGCTCGTCCCAGAGGGAAGAGGAGCTCGGACTGCGCCTCCCATGGGCACCGGCTGCCCCAAGGGAAAGATTAACTCTCAGCAGGGACATCCTGTACATGGTATGATATTCTTAAGGCGAGAGGCAAATCAGTTACGCTTGTCTGCCACCCGAACCCTTACCTGGTTGAGAAAAATAACCTTGTACTCAACTCTGTCCATCACCATCTCGCTGAAATGTGGGAAGGGACCACCTACAATTGAGCTAGTATAACAGAACCATAAGAAGTGACTGCCCAGTGCCCACATACTCTAACCTAAAGTCTGGAAAGAATCACTTGCCTTGTCATCATCTGAATTTCTCCCTGCCCCTCACCAGGAGGATATGCTTTTTATTGATTTTAAAGAGAGAAACGATCAATTGTCTCCTGTACTCGCTTCAACTAGGGATTGAACCCACTTCCTTTCAGTGTACAGGACGGTGCTCAGCCAACAGAGCCACACCGGCCAGGGCAATCACCTGAATTCTTAAAGAGGTTCTCTTCTACATCAGGATAAATCAGAGAGAGACAGAAATCTCTTCTCCACTAGAAACCTAAATATACTTAGCTTCTGAAATCAGCCACAAGAGCTACCACTGAATGGGACAAAATGTGTGTATAAGGACCCCATGCCGTAACTCACCTAGTGGGGCGCTGGGCAAACAGAATGCTAGCACGGCCCACGTGACCAGTGCATGTGTTTGTCACCAAATCAGTGGTGAGAAGGGATGACCTGAAACATGTCCTACAGTCTCGATTATGAGATGCACACACAAATTTATTTTGACCTGAAAATTCTATACCTAGCTTACCTACCGAATTTGAAGGCAAAATTAAAAGGCTTTTGTTTTTGTTTTCTTTTAACAGAAAAGGACTGAAGAGTGAGCAACCTGTAGCTATTCTGAAAGAAAGTGCTGTAGCAAAAGCCCGAGGGCTGTGAGGAGCCAACACACAGGCCACGCAGTGACGCAGAGAACTAACACTGAGCTTAGGATAAAAGGACAGTGGCTTAAGTAAGACCGAAACTGTCTGCCGGTCAGCAAATACACACAGAGCAAACCCACCTAGAAGAGTTCAAACGGGTCAAAAAGTAAAACTCAATATATGCTACACTCAAATGCCATGGTTGTAGGTGCAAGGAAGAGGTAGTAATTTTAACACCAGAAAAGGGATTTCGGAGCACAAAGATGAGGTGAGAGTACTTTAGAATGATAAGGGTACAATTCACTACATGTTCAGTAAAACTTGCCTGGAAAAATAACCCAGAAAACCTTCATGGACCTCATTGTTTAATTTGATTTCTTTGGTCTTTATAATCTATTCAGGTTTTCTATTTAACTGTTTAAATCTCCAAATTTGAAGATAGAGATGAATACAAGACTTTCCAAGAATGACCAAAGTAACCAAGAGCACTCTGGGCCAGCTGTCCCGCCCGGAAGGAGCAGCCCCGGGGTGTGGCCCGCCTCGCCTCGCAGGAGAGAGGAAAGCTTCCAAACCCACATGGAGCCAGCGTTCTCTTCCAAGAAGCCAGGCGAAGAGAGCACCGGGAAGGAGCAATCGATCGGCATCAAGGCTAAGACCTGAATGAAATATTAACTAACAGAATCCACCCAACTCCTGTTAGACAATCCACCTACTATTGTAACAAACAAGAAAAACACACGGTCACTCCCAGGGATGCTGAAACGAAATCTGATGAAATCAAACATTTATTCCTAATAAAAAGTCTTTAAAAAATAGTGACCTATACTTTTACCACTGATATCTCATATTGTTTTTAAAAATTGGATATAATTAAAGAAAATGAGGTGGGAATTTATCACTAGAGATGGCAATCCAGTAATGAGAATAAAATGCAAATTAATGTCAAAATTAACAGCTGTATCTTTTGTACTAATAACCACTTGCTTTAAAAATGTAATCAGAGATCCTACTTATAATAGCAATTAAAGGCAAAATACCCTATAACTTTAGAGTTCTATTTTAAAGTTCTATCATACATTATACCAAAATAAATTATAGAAGGTTCAAGAGTCAACATAATTAAACTCTAAATAGAATAGCAAAGGCCTTTCTAAATATAAAAAACCTGGAAATGAAAAAGAAAAATAATTAAAGTATTTAAGTTTTTCCCACATGGGAGAAAAAAAAAATCATAAGGCAAAATGACCAAAAGGGGAAAAGGTTGGTAACAGAGAGGGCTGGCTGATGCCTTCAAATTGATCGTAAAGATTGACAACCCAGCCGAAACTGGTTTGGCTCAGCGGTAGAGCGTCGGTCTGCGGACTGAAAGGTCCCAGGTTCGATTCTGGTCAAGGGCATGTACATGGGTTGCGGGGGTGTGTGCAAGAGGCAGCTGGTCGATGTTTCTCTCTCATTGACGTTTCTAGCTCTCTATCTCTCTCCCTTTCTCTCTATAAAAAAATCAATAAAATTTTAAGACTGACAACCCAAAAGTAACAGGAGAGAAAAGAACAGAAAAAGAAATACTAATGGTTTTTAAACATGTGTGACATGTTCTAGTTCACTGGTGACGAGAGACATTAGGAAATAAAACTAATGCAATACATCACTGGTCCCCTATCACCGGCAAAGATAAAGCTTGGCAGGACGCTCTGGGCCCCTCCATGCCGTGAGACCTGGGAGGCAGGTGCTTGTGTGTGGCTGATGTGAGCATAAATCCCTCTTGGGGCAGTGACGTGGTAATACCCAACAAAATAGAAAATACACTATTGACCTAGCAGTCAGCTTCTACGAACTCAGGATATATCGCATGTGTACAAATGCTCACACATCCAGGGATACAAGCCATTGGCCACAGCGCTGTTTTTAGGAGCAAAAGATGGGGCTTCTGTTTCAGGCAACTTGTTGACCCACTCACAGAAAATCCCTTAATACTGCTGGATATCCTCTTAAATGCACTACTGAGCTCACAAAATCAGCGCCTTCCCCAGGGCTCGAGCTGAGAACCAGCCTGGAGAGCTGGAGCTGCGGTGCCAGGGCCCTGTGTGCCTGTGTGGTGGGTGAGGCTGCGGCAGGTGCCAACCTCAGGAGCCAGTGGGCTTGGGTCTTACCTGGACACAGGCCCACCCAAAGGGAATACTGAGATTCCTGCTTTATAAAAATGCCAATGTAGCCTACAAATGGAAATATAGTCCCTGAAATTAATCAGCTGGAAGAGTTTATGAATTAGAGGATACATCTGAAAAATTACCTAGAATTCGGAACTGAAATTAAACAAGTGAACAATGTGAATGAGGGGTTATGAGACAGGAAGAATAGAAGGGAACAGTTCAGCATGTGTTCAAAATAAGTTCCAGAAGGAAAAAATAGTGTGTGTGTGTGTGTGTGTGTGTAGCAAAGAAGCAATATTCAAATAGTTAATGGCTAATATGTTTCCCGAATCAATGACAAAGCATACTCATACTTAATGAGCCGTAATCAAAATAAACAAATACTACCTAAGAGCATCATAAAGTAGGAATATGCAAAAATCTACAAGAGGTCTTAAAAGAAACCTAGGAAAAAAGACATTCCCTACTGAGGAATGACCATTAGAACAACAGGAAAAACTAGAAACAACATTTAAGTCCTCATGCATTTGGATTAACTTGCTCCCTCAATGGAGTGCGAGCTAAAGCAATCACTGCGATCTGGACAGTGGAGCCTGTGCAGCCACTGGAGAGAGAGACAGATCTAGGAACACTGACAGGCAGTGTCACCAAAACACGGCTCTACGTCCAACCACGGCCCGTGTGTGACAGACGGAGGGTGTATGCTGTGCACATGCAGTGGCTCCTTAGAAAAGGCTCACTGTTCCCAGAGACCAACTGCTTCCTACTTATGCCTCTGTGCTTTTTAAAAATATTTATTTCTATCAATTTCAGAGAGGAAGGGGGAGAGAGAAACATCAATGACGAGAGAGAATCACTGGTCAGCTGCCTCCTGCACGTCCCACACTGGGGATTGAGCCTGCAACCTAGGCATGAGCCCTTGATGGGAATCAAACTGTGACCTCCTGGTTCCTAGGTTGATGCTCAACCACTGAGCCATGCTGGCCGGGTGCTTCTGCTTTTTAATTCAAGTTTGACTGTACAGGTTACATGTTTAAGTAAAATTGAAAAAATTTAAAGAGAAAATTCTGGAAGGATATACTCAAATTGGTAGCAGTTACCTGGGGGAAGAGTGGCAATTAAGAATGAGGGGGGAAGTGGCTTTTACTTCTCTCTTCTAGACACTGCCACGCTGTTTTAAGAAACAAGAATTCATTCGTGCTTGGAACGGGCACCCTGAGGTGCGGGTACCCTGAGGTGCGGCCACGCTGTGTAAGCTGGGTGGGGCGTGCACAGGCATCCCTTACTCTACACGTCCCTCGCCCTCCCACGGGCACACTCTGCTTCAAATACAGATGTCATCTCAGAGCACAGGAGATGCATGGATTCTTCCTGGGCAGAACATGCAGCCAGCGAGCTGACACATGCTGATGGCGATCCCTATTACTCCAGCATGCCCTTCAAACCCCACTTCCCGGAGAGGAGCTGGGCCTCCAGGGATGCGGGAGAACGTGGAATGTGCTGGAAAGCAAAGGTCTCCCCTCCAGCCCTTGGAGGGTGAGGAAGGGCAGGAAGGTGTCAGCACCGTAGAAGGAACTTTGCCTGCAGCAACCACAGCCGGACTTCCTGCTTATGGGGACCCGAGAGGGACAGGGATAGGAAAAATTTAGCCCAAATACTTCCCAGCACATATCTGGTTAATAAGGGCCCACTTTGCCGGGCGATTTTCATAAAGAGCCCCTCTGTTGAATGTTTATGCTCTATAATTTACAGTTTGGCTGTTAAGGAGACAAAGGCAAACACAAATTTGGTCCAGAAGTTCAAAGTTTGCCATCTGTTTTCCTATTGTATTTAGATACCAGCACGGGGTGGCTCCAAACAAAACAAACAAATACACCAAAAGATACAACACTTGCATATTTTGTATCACCAAGGAAACAAAAAAACGGCCAAAACAGACTTGAACTTCCCCCACAGGGAAATAGGAAGAGCATTTGCATGACATCTCCTGGAGAGGCCTCACTGTGGCCTCCAGTCGCCGGATAGCAACCCCCCAGCGTGCGGGTCCACCGGAGCCGTTCACATTCGCGTGCAGGGCCCGCGTCTGCCTCGACAGCTGACCGTGCCCGGCACCAACCCGCACAGCAGCGCATCTTGGCAGAGCCGGTCCGCAGCCCTCAAATCAAATACCCGGCGCTGGGAACAGGTAGCACAGCAACCGGGCACTGATGTGTGCCAAGACGACCGATTCCAGGGACAGAAAGAAGCCAATGGTAGGTACCGAGTCCCTATCTAGCGCGTACTTCATCAACTTTGCCCGCTGCAAAGAAAAATAATTGGTCCGAAGCTGTAATTGTGTTATGTTTAATATTCATGGCTGGATTCGGAGGGCTGTTCCAGCACTCCCTCCCTCCAGCCTCTAATGAAAATCGCACCGTAGGAGTCGGCTCTCGCCCGCCAATTAAAACAAAAGACACCAGAACCTTCCAAAGCCTCCAACAGAGGAGCATCCATCTGATGGGCAGGAAAACGTGCTGGAACGGAGAGGGAGGCACGCTCTGGTTGGTCCTGTGCTAAGAGCTCTGAATAACTTATTACAGCACTTGCAGATGGAGCAAACAACACGCCCGCCCCACGCCCGCTTTAACAGCAGGCAGCAGGGCCAGCGCACACAGCAACTTTGTACTCGTCAGGGCAAGAAGTGAGCGCTGAGACTCTTTAACTGGGGTCACACCTCAGGGCTCGCTCCCCATTGCTTTGGGTTAAATAATCCCATGTAATAATAAAGCACCTGTACTGGGTGGCAAAGCTGAAGACTGTTCGGACTCAGCTCGGCAGTTTCATTAGGAAGGATATATCTATCCAGAAAATAAAGGGAACAAGCAAGAGGCATTAAAATGTAAGCTTTTTTTTTTTTAAAAATGACCAAATTAATAAAGAAAACTAGTATTTAAAAAAATCAATACGTGATTCTGTTTTATTCCACTGAACCTGGGCTATTAAAGAGGATTTTAAATATAACCTTTATATACCAAAATCAATAGCTTTATCTAGATAACACTGGTGATGGCCTTTAGTAAATGATTCACTTGAAACAGCAACTAGAAAAATGGCCAACGAGGCTCTGCTGAGAGCTCTCTACCTTAAAGCTGCGTCTCTGCCCGCAAAGAGCAACGGGCCCATCAGGCTGATCACCACACCTTCCCGGGCCGTTTCCTCAGCCGGGTCACCAGGACAGCTCTGCGGCCCCTAACAAGCCCGCCCAGGTTTTACCTAGACACAACGATGGAGGGAACACCAAAATAATAGGGCACATGACCCCAAATTGGATTTCTTTTTAAATTTTAATCAGATGAGTATACTTTGAATAAACCCTCTATTTTACGGTCATCTGGTTTTCAACAACAGTGCCAAGACAATTCAAAGGGGAAGGAATAGTCCTTTCAATAGAAGATGCTGGGACAATTAGTTATCCAACTTGAATGGTAACCTTATGCAAAAGAATGAGGTTGGACTCCCACCTCACACCATCTACAAAAATTAACTCCAAATGCATTGTGACCTCACTATAACAGCCAAAAGTACAAAAATTCTCTGAAGAAAAAACAGGAGTAAATCTTTGTGACTCTGGGCTAGTAAGTGACTACTTCATTATAATACCAACAGCACAAGTA